TGCCAGAGATAGAAACGCTGGGTCACAGGCCGGGTGAGCACAGAGTGTGGTTGGAGACCGGGGAGACAGGAGTGATTGACTGTTTTTCTCTGGGGGCGCACTGAGGAGCAGGACCCTGAATTATCAACTCCTCTGAGGTGGAGATTGGGAGGCTGCCATTTCACTCTCGTCCTCCAAAGCTGATCAGAAAGCTTGCAGGGAACAAAAGCTCCCGAGAGCAAACCCGAGCAGATTACTTAGCCCCGCCTGGCAAGGGCGGGGCAATTCCACCTCGGCAGACACTTGGGAACCACGGCAACAGGCCCCTCCTCCAGAAGATCAGCAAGAACAGCCCTCCAAGGCCGAGTTTCCGGATCAATGAGAACAGCAGAACTCCAGCGCTAGGGGAATACTGCACATAGAGTTCATGGCTTTTTCCCCATGATTCTTTAGTCTTTCAAAGTTAATTTTTTTTAACTTTCTTTTCTTTTTTCTTAATTTTTCTTTTTCCGTTTTTCAACCAACATCTTATCAATCCCTTTTTTAAAAAAATCTTTTTATATATTTTTCATTTTTAGAGTCATATTCTATCCCTTCATAGTAGTTAACCTTATTTTTGGTATATATATATATACCAAAGTATATAAAGTATATAAAGTTGTTCTCTCTTTAAAATTTTGGGATACAGTTTCTTCTAACAGACCAAAATATACCTTAAATCTCTAGTGTATGGCTTTGTTCTAGTCTCCTGTCTGATCACATTCTCTCCCTTTTTTTTTTAAATCCTCTTCTTTTTTCAACCAACTTCTTATCTTACCAATTCCTTTTATAAAATCTTTTATAATTTTCATCTTTACAGTCATATTCCATCCCTTCATCATATTAACCTTTATTTTTGTACATATATAAGTTTTTCTTTCTTTAAAATTTTGGGAGGCACTTTCTTCTAACAGACAAAAATATGCCCAAAATCTAGTGTGTGGCACTGATCTATGTACCAGCCTGATCATATTTGATCATATTCTGTTTTTTTTTTGTTTTGTTTTGTTCTGTTTTTGTTTGTTTTTATCTTTTTCTTTTTTCTTTCTTTCCCTTTCTTTTCCCCGGGTTTCAGGTCTCTTCTGATTTGTTTAGTGTATATTTTTCTGGGGTCATTGTTACCCTGTTCACATTTTGTTCTCCCATTCATCTAGTCTCTTCTGGACCAAATGACAAGATGGAAAAGATCACCTCAAAAAAAAGAACAAGAGGCAGTACCGACTGCCAGGGACCTAATCAATACAGACATTAGTAAGATGTCGGAACTAGAGTTCAGAATGATGATTTTAAAGATACTAGCTGGGCTTGAAAAAAACATGGAAGACATTAGAGAAACCCTTTCTGGAGAAATAAAAGAACTAAAATCTAAACAAGTCAAAATCAAAAAGGCCATTAATGAGGTGCAATAAAAAATGGAGGCTCTAACTGCTAGGATAAATGAGGCAGAAGAGAGAATTAGTGATATAGAAGACCAAATGATGGAAAATAAAGATGCTGAGAAAAAGAGAGATAAACAACCACTGGATCACGAGGGCAGAATTCGAGAGATAAGTGATACCATAAGATGAAACAATATTAGAATAATTGGGATCCCAGAAGAAGAAGAAAGAGAAAGAGGGGCAGAAGGTATATTGGAGCAAATTATAGCAGAGAACTTCCCTAATGTGGGGAAGGAAACAGGCATCAAAATCCAGGAGGCACAGAGAACCCCCCTCAAAATCAATAAAAATAGGTCAACACCCCAACATCTAATAGTAAAACTTACAAGTCTTAGAGACAAAGAGAAAATCCTGAAAGCAGCTCAGGACAAGAGATCTGTAACCCACAATGGTAGAAACATTAGATTGTCAACAGACCTATCCACAGAGACCTGGGTGGCCAGAAAGTACTGGCATGATATCTTCAGAGCACTAAATGAGAAAAATATGCAGCCAAGAATACTATATCCAGCTAGGCTGTCATTGAAAATAGAAGGAGAGCTTTGTAAACTTATAGACATCATACAAAAGTGGTATATTAGGATTACCTGTTGGTGGCTTGTGGAAAACTTTTTGCCAGAAATGTTTATTTTTTAAAAACTAAAATATATTGACTAATAACACATCATCCATCTTCCTCTCCTTCCCTTTTTTCATTTATTCATTCAACAAAATTAAAAGTAAATAAGATCCTTATGTGTCAGCAAGGGAGAATCTAGGTTTTGTGGGGCCTTATCTTTAAAAGTTGGAGAGCTGTATTTAAAAAGGAGAAGACAAAAATTACTGAGGTAAACTAAGCCACAAAACTATGCAGTAATCTAATTACAATACCTTGCTTTTATAAATTTTGCAAAACATAGGATCATGTGATTATACTGGTGAGGCTTCATCCAGCAGGGCCTTGGAATAGTCTCATATAAGGGAGGTACCCCACAACCTAAGCCCCATTATCTATGGTACATCCATCTCTGTGAACAAGCATAGAGATAGAGGAATCAGAAAGAAAGAGATAGTTGGCTTGCCCATAAGAAGTTTGTAGATCAATGGGAACACAGATGTGTACAAAAATCAGTGTGATAGAATAGTTGTTTAGACCAACATGTTACTAAACTTGAAAACTTTTAATTATTTTAACTCTAAGCACTGTAAAATACATCATGGTGGGTATGGATCTGATTATGGGAGCCAGGACATATGACTTAGTTAGGTTTGAGTCATTTGGTGACTTCAGAACCCAACCACTTCTTTCTGTAACTCCTTGAGAGCAACATGTCCCAAGGCATTAAAAAGGGACCTCTTCAATTTGGACATAATAGAATTCCAACTTTGAAAGATATTAACTCATGTTTTCAAACAACATATAATAACAGTGAAAATTCTCATGACATAGAGTTGAATGTAAAATCTAAATTAAGATAGAGTATGAAAACAACTCTGAAAAGAGAATACCTAATGTCACAATGCTCAAAATATATTTAAACATTTTCTTAAATAGCAAAAACAAAATGGTACTAATTGCTTGCATCATAATGATGTGGAAAAAAACAACAACATGGGATCCCACTTTTTTTTAAAAGATTTTATTTATTTATTCAAGAGAGAGAGAATGAGAGATAGAGAGCACGAGAGGGAAGAGGGTCAGAGGGAGAAGCAGACTCCCTGCTGAGCAGGGAACCCGATGTGGGACTCGATGCCGGGACTCCAGGATCATGACCTGAGCTGAAGGCAGTTGCTTAACCAACTGAGCCACCCAGCATCTTACTTATTTTTTCAGTTGTGATGAATTTTAAGACCATATTTACCTTCCTGATTTGCCAAAATCCTAGTATTGGCAGAGACTGGTAAGAATATTTAGTGGTACTACATAGGCCAGGATAAACACATTTTCCCTTTTGGTATGTTGATTACTCTGAATTGAAAAATCAATCAAGAAACAAGTATTTCTTAAAAAAAAGTTGAGTTGAATTCTCAGCTTTTATTTATTTACTTATTTTTTATTTTTATTTTTATTTATTTATTTGATAGAGAGAGATACAGCGAGAGAGGGAACAGAAGCAGGGGGAGTGGCAGAGGGAGAAGCAGGCTTCCAGCTGAGCAGGGGCTCCATCCCAGGACTCTGGGATCATGACCTGAGTGAATTCTCAACTTTTAGAGAAACAGAGGAAATATAGTGGAAATGGGTCAAATTAGCATCAGGAAATATTTAAAAATATTCTTGAATGAGGAAAAATAATTTATGTTTTAAATGCCAGGATCAATTTATGACCAGTTTCTCTTTCTTGGACATAGGTGGGAAGGTGGAACTATGGGTTTGTATAAATTGTATTTTCTGGACTCTTAATATTAATTTTATTTTATTTTATTTCTTTTACTAAGCAGGGAGAAAAAGAAATAGGTAAATGGAAAAAATGAACAAAAATTCCTTTAGGAGGCAAGGAAATCAATTAAATGATCTATGGAAAGATTTTTAGCTTTTCATTTCTATGATGTAGAATATCATTCATATATAAAGACAGACCTAAATGAAAATTACTGAAACCCGAACACATTGTTTATGTCCTCTAAAGTTTGTCTTAAAAATGCACATTTGAGCATTTTCTTAATCTTTTAGATCCTATTTCCTCTCACTGAGTTATGTACACTAATTAGGTTCAGTTCTTTTCATT